TTGGTTATAAGTGATTTCTTCTTCAGGTTTGGGATGCCAAAGAAACTGCATTCAGATCAAGGCCGTAACTTCGAATCAGCTGTGTTCCAGGAATGCTGCAAGTTGTTCGGCATACGTAAGACCAGGACAATGCCACTTCACCCACAGTCTGATAGGATGGTAGGAAAGTACAATTGAACACTGGGACAGGAAATGGCAAAGTTTTGTAATAGCCACCAAGATGACTGGAATGTCTTACTCCCTCTGCTGTTGATGGCTTCTAGAACAGCAGAGCATGAAGCCACTGGATACACTTCAGCAAAGCTGATGTTTGGTCTGAAACTTTGGTTGCCAGTGGACCTGATAACAGGACGCCCACCATACGAAGAGTTGCCTGAAAATGTGTCAGAGTTCGTGAAAGTATTATCTGAAAGGTTGGATGAAATTCATCATCAAGTGCATTCAAACTTGAAAACGTCTGCTGATTCCATGAAGCTATGTTATGATAAGAGATCTACTGAAGTCAGCTTTGTACCAGGAGACTAGGTGTGGTTGTATAATCCCAGGAAGACCAAAGGGAAGTCTCCTAAGTTGTCTTCTCCATGGGAAGGCCCATATGACATAGTGGATCGTCTCTCAGACGTGACTTTCTGAATAAAATGTGGTCGGCGAGGTAAGCCAAAGGTGGTGCATGCCAACAGGCTTTGGTGTTATCACGATCCAGGACATTTCAGTTGGAATGAAGTGAGCAACGGAACAAATGACGCTGCTGAAGATGTGTCACCTGAAAAAGCCACTGTCGAAGAAGAAACTCTGCCTGGTTTTGAGAAGGAAAACAGTGAAGTTGTTAATGAAGTTACTACCACTAATGTGACTGCTACCAATAATGGAACATTTCATGATGGAGCAGATGAACCCCACGTGAAGCAGAAGCCAATGAGATGGAGACCAGTACGGAAGAATAAACATCCTGTAAAATTAAGAGACTTTGTTATATTTTAATTTTGTGTTTGTAAATTCTGTACATTTAATTAATTTATTGTTCATTATCTATTGGTTTAATGTAAGTAGCTATTGTTCAGGACGAACAATACTAAGGAAGGGGCAGTGTTACGACAGAGGAAGTCACGTGATGCTGAGAGCATGCACGCTGGAGTTTCTCGAAGGATCTAGTCTGATCGAGCTTGCCTCGTTTTTAATATATAAGCCTAGGGAGAAGAACCAGTAGGGCAGATAGATTGAAGATATAGATAATTGAGTCAAGTAAACAGTAGGCACGGTAAGTAAAGTGTGTGAATCACTGTGATTTATAACATATGTTATAAAAGTTGTTAAGTTTAAAGTGATTGTGGAAATTCTGTGTATACTACAAAGTTGTATCGCGAAAGAATAAACTAGTTTTAATCAAGAAGAGACTTGTAACGCTGAAGTTCCTCGGAAAGAATTTATACCAGACACTGACAAACAATCAGATACGCAACACCATGTTAACTTTTACTAAAACAATTTTTTTTTATGTTAGTACTTCAAGCAGACAGCAAGCATTTCTGTGTTCCCTAGGTAAGGTATATTATGTTATTTATTTATTGCTACTTTCATTCATTCTCTCTAAGTACACAAGTGATGTCAAAATGCGCATGTCACTCATGACTTTTTGTGGTTACATCCAAAATTAAACTATTTTATTATCAATCTATATCAATAAACTTTGCTTAAATATGTAGTTAATAAATCATATTTCAATACTCTGTAAGATTTAATTCAACAGTGTCAATGATCATGCCACTGCATTACCAGCTTACCAACAGTATCCTTCTGCTAAAGGAAGGTGACTCCACAACTATAGTAGAAATGAAATGTATCATGAAAGCAGATCTTGTTGAAAGATAGTCTGGTATCTTAAATGTAACATATGCTGTAAATCCACAATTAAACTGCTACTTTACATTTCAAATGAAAAAAAAAACAATTTTCAATACCCATCTCACAGAGGAAGCTGTTAGAGTATCCACTAAAATGTCCAACAGGTAACAATAAAAACTGAAGAACAAAATGATCCAGTATTTTATCCAAGGAATGAACTACCACCAGGTGCTACAGATACTCATCCATTACCAACCTTACCTAATTGACAGAGATACTAGCAGCAATCCACAGTTTTATTGAGCATGTCACTAAGTATGAATCTGACTGTGTCCTACATGACCTCTTGGGGGATGTGTTTAATGTGCAGGTAGAGCCTGCTAAGTCAATTCCAGAGTTGGAACAGATGGAAGTAATTCAATATAAAAGTGAATCACCAATAAGCCTTAAAAGTAATCCACTTAACTAGTGGAAAGAAAATCAGTTCAAGTACCCTATTACTACTCATTTAGCAAAGTGTTTTTTTTTATTCCAGTAATCAGTGTACAATAAAAGAATGTCTTCTTGACAGCTGGTGGCATCATATCAGTATAGAGGGCAAATTTAAAGGCTGAACATGTGGACCCTCTAATATTTCTAAAAAAGAACATTAAGTAAATCCTGTAACCTATATTTTACTGGTTACATCAATTGCAATTTGTACCTGACAGATGATCAGTACTAAGACTGGTTGAAACAGTTTTGCAATTAAGTGTTTTTTGTACCTGTTTGTAATGTTTTACATTTGGGAACTGAAATGACTGCGCAATAAAGCATGGACATATAGTTTGAATTCTTAAAATTTCAGGAATGTCTCAGAACCACAGTATGTTTAATTCTAATCACTTTAGAGTATTTAGCTTGTAAGTTGTATTATGCAATTGATTATATATGATAGATCAGTTTGTTTCTTTATTTTTTTCTTTATTATTCATTGCTCTTTTATGGCTCATAGCACATACATATATCATTTTCTCTGTAAAGTAAACTATATTTTCAGTTGCATACACCCTATTCTAAGCTTTTTTAAGACATAAAATTAACTGTTAAAATTGTGATAGTCTATGGTGTATGTACCATGGTATTTGCTAAAAAACTAATGTATATCACAGTACTTTTTTCCATGGTACTCAACTCTAGAGATCATTGTTGGTGTTTCCAAGAACCATCACATTGAATCTCTCCTATAGATGAGGCACTACCTCATCTGAAACATGTTGAAAAGCTCAATAAGTATTTTCTTCCTCAATTTCAGGTTGGAGTGGATTAAAACACTGTTTTCATCCTCATCTGGTTTGATTACTTTTCTTTACCCTTGGTCAAGTCAGTTCAAGAGATGTTTATTGGTCATATACAAACACAGCTGATGGACATGTACTTCTTGCTTTTGTGCACTTCTTGACTACTGTAACTTGTACATTAATGGACAGACTTATCAGATCACAAGACAAGGTCCTGTCAAGCTACAGCCAAGAGACTTTCCTGCCTCTGGCATATAACAATAAGACACCTAGCCTCCTCTTTGGTTCATTTGCTCCTTCACTGTTTCATTGTGGCACCTCTTCTTTTTTAGCTTTTGGTATGCAAAGTTAACTGTTAACAAACTTAGCAAGTATATACTTGATAGTTTGTATTACCCATTCCATTAATCCATCAGACTGAGAGTATGTTGGATATACAAGACTGTTTAGTATAAGTGCAGTGCTTCCTACCACTTATGCCATGAAAAATATAGGAAATATAAGAATTGGGGTTTGAAAATACAGGAAAAATATAGGAAATTCACAGGAAAATATAGGAACGTTTGGGGAAAATATAGAAATATCTGGAGGAAATACTGGGTATAACTGTTAAAATATAGTATAAAATAAAGCCAGTGTATCACATTTGAAATTAAATTATGGGAATACAAAGAAAAATAATAGAAACAATATTTTATGATGACCTCCTCCACCCCTTATATTTTATTCACTTTAAAACAAATATGAAGGCGACTACAAAAACCTGTTAATATTCTTTTGGAATAAGCTAACAATCTGATGTGATACAAACCATGTGCATGAGTCACATTTAGTTACTAATATTTTTGTCATATTTAACACATGATGCATTCAATTTTTATTTGACTCAATTATGCTATAGTAAAAAAATATGTAAATTGTAACATTTAATGAGTAAATATTTAAACATTAACATAATATCCTTAATCTCAGTTGTGTAAGCAAATGTCAGAGATACTTAAATATAACTAATACAACTTTTTTTCATAGCACATGTCAACCAGACTAGAGCAACAGAAAAAATGAAACTACAAAAAGTTAATCTGAATTAAACTTTATAACACAGACTTATCACTGCAACAGTATCTGAACAAAAGGTACTTTACATTTGTCTATAAGTTACTTACTCTGGGGCTCACTATTAACTATAATCTTCTAGGTCTACTTAAGTAATTATGCATAGAGTATTCTACGTGCTAACAAATATTCTTACTTATACATGTTGTTTTTTTGCTGGCAAATCCAGATCTTTTGCTAATGTATCAAAAAATTATCGTTTTGTTCTTGCCAGGGTTTGCCTTGATTCCATTGTTGATTTAAGAACTTTTGAGGTCTCTTTGCATTTCTTCTGACCTGCCTTGATCATTGTATGAGCTACACTAGCAGTAGCAAAATCTTTTTCCTTGATAGCCTTAACCAATTTGTCATTTCCTTCATTTAAAAGCTTCTCACCCACACTTAATGAATCCTTTGCTTCTTTTTCTTTGGCACACAATTTGCTTCTTCTTGAGAAAGTGCAGCATTGTCTTTTACCAACTCTTGTTTTTGTTCCTTCCACTTTTCTGCCTCCAACTTTAACCTTTCTGCCTCATTTTTTGACTATTTATTCAGTTGCTCTGTTTTCTCTTTTTCTCCTTTCATTAATTCCAATCTTTATTCATAGGCAGTGTAAGCACTCTTGATAGCAAGCAAAAGCTTTTTAGTAATTGGCACATGTTCTGGCCTTCCCATTTCTGGATCAAATAACCTTACAGTATTGATGCTCTTTCAGTGGTCACCAAATGCTTATTCACAGAGAATCCCCTCTCTACATCTGCATTTCCATATCAGTGAAAACTTCACAACCTTCCCCAGCTTGGAGTATTTATGTTTTCCATCAATTCTAATCTGTGCAAGAACATCCCTCCAGTAATGATCAATACGTGCCTCACCCACATTTTCTGAATGACCCTGCATACTGGTCATCTCAGTTAAGCACAGATTCCACTCATTGACATTGGGGAGATTTTTTGCCACCCTCTTGATGGAATGAACTGTTCCAGTTTTCATTGGATTCAGGCATCCCATATACTTCAAGATACTTTTTGAAACAGGCAGATGGTTAATTAGGTAGATGACAGCAGATGAATGAAAGGCACGCATTCCTAGCTATATGTTATGCTTGCCACTGCTGGACAGCTTTTCCATGGCTTTTCTAGTTGGTTCACCAACAATCACATGTTCATCATCCATCTGGTTCTTAACATCTGAATGCTTGACCTCACACAAATCACTGCCTTCCTTTGTTCCACCTACCTCTGGCTTTACATACCACAACATAGGTCTCCTAACCAGTTCACTGAGTTTATCATACAGAATGTGAATCTGTGGAGTTTCTGATTGGAAAAGCTCCAGGAATGAGTGGAAGAGTGGAGCCACTGCCTGGATGAAGTAAAGCAAAGTCAGGGTTTCCAGACTTTTCAGCTTCAAGATCCTCCTCAAAGCTGCACGTTTGGGGGCATTTGATCTTTTCTCTTTCTTTTTTATGTACTTATCAATGGCCTCCCATTGTTCAAGAATTCTATCTACAACAGGTGACAAAATAAGCCACCTAGATGACACACACCGTTGAAACATGTACTCTTCAACACCAATATCAACTCGCACATTGTTGTAATCCTCCTTCCTTTCTGCAGACTGCTTAAAGAAGATAAACAGGTCAATGGCCAATTCATGAATGTCTTGTGAAAGAGTTTCCTTTGCCTGTCCAAATGCACTGTGTACAGTGTGAATATAGTAGAAACCAATGTCTACCAGACCATGATGGCCACTTTCTAGAAGAGAAGAGCTCATTGTTTTCCAGATTGTTTTATTGACATTTGGTCCATCATTACACAGTGCCACAAGAAGATTTCCATTCAGTTTATTGTCACTGAGAGACTTAAAGATAGCCTGGGCTACATTTTTTCCTTTGGCATGACCAAACATCAAGCATTTACAGAAACAAACTCGGACTTCATCCTTAAATGGTGACCAGTATCTGATGTGCAAGTCAAGTTGTTTCTTCCCTTGAGCTGTTGTTGCTTCATCAAAATGAAGTGTGAATGGAGTCTTGGAATAATTTACATAAGCAACCAATGCTTCAGTAAAATAAGGGCCTATCTCATCTGATAACATGTATGATACCTTCGTCCTTGCCAAGTGGAATCCTGATGCAGCTGGACAATCAAACATAGCTTTGAACATGTCAGATATACCATCACAAGAGCAAAAGCTATAATTGCTAGCAGCCACCTTTAAACACCATATTGTTTCTGCAAGTAACACATCTTCATTTACAATTTTGACCTTCATCAAAGCTTCCTTTTCAGTTGACTTGGCCTCCTTAAAACACAACCACATTTGACATGGTGTCAAAGTACTCTTAGCCATCTCAGTGTGTTTTTCCCATTAGCATGCTGCTTTAATTGTTCTAGTCCAGATCTATCACATGCTATTTCCTTTTTTGCACAAAACACAAAATTGTTTAAAGTCATCAGAGCCCTTTTTTGCACCAATGTTTGATATCATGTCCATTGTTGGCCTTCTTTTGCAGCCAGTGTTCTTGAAATTTGGTCTTTCCAGCAGGCATTTTCAATACTTCAGAATAAAATCTCACTGCATACATCTCTCAAAAAAGAACGTTGTCATTATTTGAAATCGGCAACAAGATAGAAATGTTGTTTTGTACAATACAGTGTAAGTCAAAAGGTTGCTGCTTCTTCAACTATCTGAAAACAAAAATATTAAGTGATCATGTTCAGCTGAAATTAAGTAATAGCAAAACAATAAATCAATCAAATATACATGTATAAGAAAATATTTAACCATTTGAAACACTATATTGTGTGTCAAGTATTCATCGGTAATATATTTTATATCTAAAGCTCATAATCCAACCGAACCCCTAATTGACTAATTACTATCCATTAAACTAGATAGCAACAGTGAGTCACAACACAGCATAAGAATTATTTTTTCAATAAAATATTTCTTACCTTAATGACTGATGAACATAGCTTCCTTGTAGATATGGATTGCTGATACAGATGTGAATATGGATGATTCAAGTTTGTTCTCCAGAGAAAAAAAAATTCTATGATAACTTTATCATACTTTCATTACAAAGAAATTTTGGATGTATGTAACACATTTGGAAGGCTTTTGTCACCTTTGAAATTAAAATACCAATTAATGTTATACATAACTGCAATATATAATAGTAGTACTTAACATTACTTTTTTTGAGGATCTAATTGGCAGTTTTATCTTTAAATATTAAAATATCCCCAATACCTGAAAAATATAGGAGTGTCACAAAAATATAGGAACACTGGATGCCCTGTAAGCAGTATTATTTAGTTTATTTTGTGACTTAATATTTAATGATTATTTAGTTTTCATAGCGTGTTAAAAATTAATTATTTTAAAATTGATAGTTCTGACAAGATTTGTTACGTAACTCTGTATAAGTCGTACATTGTGTATGCAGTTAGACTGTTATACTAGACTTTAGCAATATTGTTGATGTCACATTACTCATATCTTTGGTATTTTTCTCATTACTTAAGTGAGTATTGTTCCATTATAATGTCACATAGTTTATAGAAAGTTTGAGGCCTGTGAACAAGATGACTAGTGAGCACAAATTAAGTAGAAAAAAGTAAAGTGAGACATAATTATATAGATCTAGTCTGAGTGATTTGGCAGTTTACCTGTGATGGGCGATTTATAAAGGAGTTAGAAGTTTCATCAGAAAACGTTAAGTTACTGAAAGTAAAGTTCAGTAAAAAAAAAAAAAGTTAGAAAACAGGCGATATCTTAAAGTGAATTTCACAGTTTAACAGAGATAATGAGAATAATTGGTCTTGTTAAAGGGTATTATAAAGTAATTGAACTTATCAGTGTGGACTATGACAAAAGGAGACAATTATTTAAAGTCTGAGATACAACTGTGGTAACCCATAAGGTAACATAAGAGAATTTATCACAGATTGTACAGTAAGAAACAGAATAAAGAAAAATAATTTTTCTTGTTAATTAGATTCTAAAGTAACTGAATCAGCCTGTGAAGACTTTTGACAAGAAAAGATAATTATTTAGAGTTTTAGATAAAACTGTGATTTCCCATAGTGTAAAGAATTTTGTACAAACATTTGACTTATTTTGAATATATTATTTTACAAAAAGTGGATTGTGTGCTGTCCATTTATTGTTCGAATTTATCACCACCAAGTCAGAGACTACTGTAGAGGAATCCCAGTCCACACTCATATTTGAAACTCTGACAGGGTGAGAAGGTGAAGTATGCATCTTCATAGCATCCCAACAATTTACACAACTCAGTGAAAAAATGGCTGTTAAATTTAGAACTTTAATCTGTGTGGATCTTTTCAGGTGCTTCAAACCAGGATGTTATAAGATGTTCCACCAGTGCATCAACCACAGACGGTGCAGACATATTGACAAAAAATAAGCTTTGGCCAACTTTGTGAAGTAATCAACAACCTTGAATATATATGGATGACCCCATTCCATCTCCAGGCACAGACCAGCAACATTCAGGACCACTCCTTGCAGAGGGGAACCAACAATTCTTTGGTAAATTTTAGGTAGGCTTTTTCTCTGGGTGGTACACACCATAAAGTGTTAACACCAGTGCTGAATGTCTCAATTCAAATGCAGCCGGAAAAATTACCATTGAGCATTAACACAAATGTATGTAACACCTTGGTGCCCTCCAGTCTATTGGCTATGTAAAGTTTAAAGAATCTTGTGCCTTAAAGCTCTGAGGACCACTAGCTGTAACACATGATGAGACCCACTGCACATTGGTTAATAATAATGGTACAGCACATCTTCCTGCACTCATAACTGTCTCTATAAGTGTCATAAGTTACTTGCTTTTGTGCTATGTACCTCAATCTGAACCAGTCATCATGCTTTACATTCTTGCTCAACAAGGAGCACCCATGGTAGATCTGAGTCCTTTGATTGCTCTTTCTAGATCTCCCCAACTGTTAATTGTAGGTTCCATCTACTGATGAAAAATCTTACCACATGGCTACTTGTCTTTAGAGGAAAATGGTCTGAACTCTTACAGTGTCCAGGATCAGGTCATTCAACAAGTGGATAGAGTCCTCACTCCCTTTGGCAAGACAATCCATCTTAATTTCTGTGCTGTGGACCCAGATGATAATACATAATTAAATCATACTTCTGTAATATTATCTAGTGTGCTATCATCCATCCGGAGTTTTCTAAGTTCATGAATCACTTCAGCAATGCATGGTCCTCTTGAACAGTGAATGCTCTACCATACAAGTAATGCCAATGTATTTTTACCAAGGCTACAACTGCAAGTCGTTCTTTCTTCTTCATATAGTATCTACATTCAGGAATTATGAATGTACAATTAGCATATGGAATTACACATTTTAACCTATTCTGCAATTGCAATAATACTGTCTCAATTCCACCATCACTGGCACCAATGTCTAGTATGAATTCACACTCCTGTTATGGATATGCCAACACCCTGGCTTCTACTAAAGCATACTTTGGGAACTGGAAAGATTATTTGATTATGTGTGGGTAGTTGATTGTTCCTCAGCTGGGTTCAAACCTGGCAAGATGTGGTGCCTAGGTAGGTCAGTCTATCTAAGATAAAGTGATTGCTTGTTTGTTTGTTTGTTTTTGAAAATCACGCCAAATGCTACACGAGGGCTATCTGCGCTAGCCGTCCCTAATTTAGCAGTGTAAGACTAGAGGGAAGGCAGCTAGTCATCACCACCCACCACCAACCCTTAAGCTACTCTTTTACCAACGAATAGTGGGATTGACCATCACATTATAATGCCCCCACGACTGAAAGGGCGAGCATGTTTGGTGGGACTAGAATTCGAACCCGCGACCCTCTGATTGCGAGTCGAGCACAATAACCTCCTGGCCATGCCAGGCCAGGAAGTGATTGCACCTGCAAGTTTATCCAGAAATATCTCTACTTCATTTGACAATCATAAACTAATCTCACAGTCAAAGTTTCTGCATACTACATTTCTATACTAAGAACAAAGTTAACCCTATCATCCCGAGTATCCTTTACTGCGCATGACACAAGGTTTTAGTATCTTACATTCAAAACTTTATTAAACTATTTTTCTATTTATGTTATACTAATTAGAAAAGCATAAAATCTTAGCTAATAATCCATATTTTAATAGTATACAAATTTTAAGTTCTTAATTCTACAAGGCAATATTAAAAACAAAATGCTGAATTTCCACTAGTGTGACCCAGGTGACACATTTTGTCTTAGCACGTCATCATCCCTATTTTATCCAGCACCCCTAGAAAAAGTATGAAATTAAATGTAAATTACTCTCTATAAAATCATTATTTCTAAGACAAACCATAATTTTTATGGTCTTCAATTTTGTTTGGTTACAGAGCTATCGAATAGAAAATCAGACCCCTCCTGCCACACCCACCTGTCACATCCTGTCTTTCAAAATTTGTTTATAGTTCTCTCTTATGTTTCATTATATATTACCTATAACCAATAGAAATTCAAGGTTTTCATCTATTAAATGACATATTGTATAATGTTATATTCTGAATGGTTAAATGTCAATTTCACTCAGAGTATAAACATCATTCCCATGGGAAAGTTAACGACTAGCTTGGATGAATTTGTAACGGCTCTTATTGCATAGTTAGAAAGCCAGGAAAATTTTGAGAGGTAAGTGAATTTGTCTACGTTTTGCACGATATTAGTCTATATTCTTTAGTGCATTATGTAATTAAATACAAATTATTAAGTACATTACTATCTATAGTATAAAACATTAGAGTTAACTCTCTTCAAAACCCAACAGCAAGAATATTGGTTAAGTATTGTATTTGTTTTTCATATTTATTCTTTATGTATATTTATAAAAGTAACTAAAATCTAAAAATACAGATTTTTTTAAGCTATCTAAGACTGGATTAGATAGAATAATTGATAATAATAATAATAATATAATTAAAATGGTTCACGAGGCACGCACACGAACAGCTCAGCTCGTGGTAATATAATTCAATAGCGTAATGTGACCTGCACATTGTCAGAGTGATTTACAACTTATAATGACATGGATAGTTAGACATGGTTCAAAGAGAAATAAATGAATAAAATTTAATTAGAAATAGATGTATACTGTTACAAACTTAGAACTACTTAGGATAAACAAATGTAATTTCATGTCACAATTTAAAGTCATTCTAGAAAGAAAAAAAAGGTAATTTAGGTTTATTTCGATTTTTTTTCGTGGTTATGAGGTCAGTTGAATTGACTGATCCTGATTTGAAATAACAGATAAACTATAAAGTTTTACTGAGAAAAAAAAAACGTTTGAAATGCATTACATTAGGGATTACACAAAGGAAATTTGAGATTTTTGAGATGAGGAAACGTATTTTTAATTTTAACATCAAAATTACTTTGCACAAGAACTATTCAGAACAAATACTCAATATATTCATGGACAAATCTTTATTTTATTTTATTAAAATACTTTGCTAAAAAAATATGATTTTTTGTATGTGAAAGACTTATAAGATTAACTGAAAGACTGCCAAATTTTATGAAGATATACACACTATTTTGAAAGTTAGAAGTGTTAAATCTATAAAGACTTTAACTGAGTACAAAGAGGTCACGTGGTTGGTCAAATTGACTGAGCCCATGATGAGAGAGTTAAAAATTGGCAAAATATATACACTGTATGTAGAGTACTAACAGTGAGAGATCAAAAGAACTTTTGAAAACATATTCAAAAAATACATCACATAAAAAGATAGTTGATGAAACTTTTTAATGAAAAAGTATAAGAGAACTGATACATCTAAACAAAAACTAATCTGAACTCTTTACAAAACCAGTTGTAATCTGGTTGTGATCCTGGACACAGGAATACAACAGAATAACATTACTCCTAAACATACAACTGAACCCTAATAAATGAATACTCTTAGAACAATACTATACATAAACTAAATTAAAAGTAAGAAATAATATGATAAAATACACAACATAAAATAATAAAAAACTCCTAACAGAAAATGAAAATTGAATATAAAAAATATAAAAGATATACTAATACAATAGGAATATAATGAAATAAAGCTGAGTAAATATAAAAAAAATTAATTCTTCAACAAAAATAATTTAGGAACATAACAGACCAAAATGCACTCAACGAGTCCACAATAGGTAAAAATTACATAATATATTTAAAGCATTGTTAAAAGCTCCATTACCATTACAAACAGCATAATTATGAACTTAACTAGAATTTTTGCCATATTCATGTGTGTACCAATATAAACAACTGCCAAAGTATTGCTCTTCCTGTTGACCAAGCACCTGATTCATGAGAAGTAGTGTTCCCTAAACCAAAAATACAAAACTTGAATCTTAAACTTGTGGCTTTGAGTTTAAAAAATTGTGCTGTTGTAGTAATATAACTAAGTCAGACTTTTATTGGTAGCTGCTAACTCAACCCTACCATTCACCATGCTCCTATGACATAAATGCTCAACAAATAAATAATATAGAAAATTAAAACTGTGAAAAATTATTTTTGAGAGGATAAAAACAGATATTAACCCATTGTCTCCAGCTGCTCTAAATGCACAGAAGTTTTAAAAGCCATACACTGTATACAGCACACTTGCATTCAACTGCCGGAAGTTGACTGTACTCTATATAGCAAATCAGCAGTCAATGGGTTAAATACTGCTGCTATGTAATTCTTTCCAATGCACATTCAATTGGAGCATGATGCAGTGATGGAGAATTAATATATCTGCATTGTTCTTTCATCCTTCTTTTGTTCTAGTTCCACATAAATACAGATTGTTGACTATATGTACAGGTATATCTCACTTAAAATCATGAACCATAACTTACTTGTGGTTCTCATATAAATTAAAAACTCTGTATTCTTCAAAATGAACTTGTGGTGCATAGTTCGAGTTCAAGTTAATTTTTTAGCTCAGTTTATAGAGCACTCACTTGGTAAGCGAGAGGTCTCGAGTTCAATTCCAAGTCAAGGAAATATTAAAATAAAAAATTAATACAAAGATCTTTCTTCCCTTCTCAAAAGAAAGCCCATCCTCAGGCATTATCTCATTATTCTAGAATGACCACTAGTTAGGCACCAATTCTTCTGTTGTAGTAATCATTAATTCTATTATTCTGTGGCTTTGATTCGAAACCAAAACCTCTTGCACGTGATGCCCAAATTCTACCAACTGAGCTAGAGAGTTAATCCACAAACACTCGCTAGTAAAGCACCTCAAAACTACAACAGTCATTTTCATACTAAAAAGACTCCTATTTACAATTACTTTAAATCACTTTGGAACTCTTACAAAATATTTTTTAAATATTTCCAAATTGGAATTCCACTTGAAAAAAAAAAAGGATGGCCAAGTCCTTTCAGCTATTGTTCTCACAGTCACATAAGCTACAAATAAAAAATATCCATACTAATCTGTTGGTTCAGTCAGATCTAGTCTGACTTGAGCATTACATAACATGATCAGTAGAGCAATCCAATATCTTCTTGTTATTCCAGTGGAAACCACACAGATATCTCCACTTTTTTTAATTATTCCAAGGCCAAAGTAAAGATAATAGAGATATTCTATTGCATATTGTTGTCACATGTTCTGTTATTAGGTGGGTTCTTTTAGATTATTTAGTACAAATAATACCAAGTCCAGACCATGAAACAATAACAAGTTAATTTTATTCTTCAATAATGCTTAATACAGGTTACATTCATTAGTAGGACTAATTTCATAAATGAAATTTCAATAGAATCTCCAAATGAAATGTATATGTAACTTACTTATAAACTAAATTTCCATCAAATTTCTAGATCTTGCATCATCACGAGTCATGACATTATAAGAAGTTCCCTCTAGAAAACAAACATCTGAATTAGAATATTAAAAACATGGCTATCTCCATCCTGGATTGTGAAGTCTCTTGAAAAGTCCTAATAGGCAAATAAAACATTACACTAAACTGTTCATTCACCAAGTATTTCTGATGGTTTTTTCTTTAAGAGTTATGGTATGCAGATAAGATGACCTCTTGCCCATTACTGTCACTTGCTGCATGTCCTGTCATTAGAGGAATTCTTCCTAAATAGGTAATCAAGCAAATTTACTGGTAACTATCCTTAGTGATCCTCTAGAAGTGGTCTCAACAGGAACCCTGGACTCTTCAGCAGGTTTATTTTCTGCTGGCAAATTCTTCTATGAAACTACCAATGTATCTTCAATATTTAAATCATATGTTCTTTTCAATACACATGGCCCTTCCCAACACCTACTTAACTTTGGAGTCTGTCCTTTCTCGTAGCACGGATTATATCACCTCACCTCAATGAAATCTAGTCTTACCAGCATTAACATCTTTGTGATTTTTCAATTTAACATTAGCTGATTTGAGTATTTACCAGGTAGAGTCATGTATGGCATCAACAGTGTTTTAGTTTCTCTGCATACTTTGTATAAGGCACTGCTGAGTGACTATCCTCCAGATGTTCAATGGCACTAAGTTTTCTACCAAAACATCAGTGAGGATGGTGTTGCCTGTAGCTTCACATACTGGCATTAATAACTCATAAAGAGCAATGGAAGATCTTGATCACGTTTTCTGATGTTCATCTACACAAATGGATATTAGATTTAAAAGTGCATGGTTGTACCTCTCTATCATTCAATCAGGAGATAAATGAGGGCTGTTACCCAAATTTTTTTTTATTCCAAGGATCTGACACATTTCCACAAACAAGGCTGATTCAAAGTTGCATCTCTGATCTGAATGAAGTTCCATAGGTAACCCAAATCTTGAAACAAATTCATAGATTAAGTTTTCTTGTTAGAATTTCTGCTTCCAGGTTAAGAATAGCATATGCTTCGGGCAATTTGGTGCAATAGTCCATCACAACCATGATGTATTTATTCCCACTGTTACTTTGTAGCAGAGGATCAAGAACATCAACTGCAACTCCATTAATTAGGACTAAAACACAGTACTGCTGTAGCTGCCCATTCTGTTTCATCACAGACCTTTTTGCTCACAGTATACTTTACACAATTTACACCAACTCCTTACAAATTCTCAACATCCAACCCAACATAAGTATTTTCTTACTCCCTCAAATGTCTTCTTAACACTTAAGTGTCCAAGTGTTGGAAGGTTGTAGAGATGGAGTTCCTCTGAATGTAAATACTGTGGAAGTACCAACTATAGTTGCTGTTTCTGTCCATGGATATCATCCCACTTGTCTTCTGACATAACAAGCCTTCTTATAGGGATAATGAATCCCACTGTGTCTACCAAATTTTTATCTTTGAGTTGTATGGAAAGACTGTCTGCCACAAAAGTTTTTTGCAATATTCTTTAATAATTGATTTCAAACTCATATCTCTTGTCTGAGTATCTTTCAGTTGAGTGTTGAACCACATTAGTTCTTCATCATTGCTTTGGATATTCCATCTTGGACTATAGTCTATTGTACTTTAGGTTGGTCATGTTTATATTCTCATGCTTCCATGTTTTCACAGTATTTGCATTCTTCATTTACACATGGTCTTATTTTAATTTTCTGTCTTGTTCTTCTAATTTTCTGTAACTTTCTTCTTGTTCTTCTTTTAATGCTCAGTCTTTTCATTTCCACTTTTTCATCATCTTTAGCAAATTTTTTATCTCAGTTTGTGTTCTTGTTATCATCTTCTATCAACAGTTTTGCATAATGTGTCCTATCATTGGGCTGGTTCTTTGGGATTATTTAGTAAAAATAATGCTAAGTCCAGTCTACATAACAGTTATGAATATTTTTTTTTGCTACAGGCTATGTTCACTGGTAAGCCTAAACTTCACAAAAAATGTTTCATTAGAAAATCCATATTTGATATACATCTAATTTCCTTGCAGAATATCCTTTTAATCAATCAAAAACAAACACGCTGACTGATTCACTGTTTAGCTTAGCAACTGAATAACTGTTTAACTCACTATTTGACACTGAAATGAATAACTCAATTAATTGAATAACTTACTAAGTTTGATATTTATACACAATCTAGTTTTCTTCATAACAAAGAAAGCTTCTATATTCTACCAAGGCCTTGAATTTTATGAAATTTTTAAATCTTGTTTCCTTATGATAAGCTCCCTTTAGCAAACAAACATCTAAAATATAATTTAAAAAATATAACTTATAACAATATTGCTTATTCCATTAGTTACAGAAGAGTAAAGTGATATAGTCAAAATTATTAGAAGTTCAAATAACTTAATTTATCATGGTTACTGAGAACAGTAAGAATTTTCAAAAGAACCTTGTATAATTATTTCTCTTGCTTTCATTCAAAGTACTCAATAACTATATGGTACTTACCAATTTTAGCCACAGATGCTGAATGTTTTGGAACTGGTAAATTTAAACAATGGTTCAGTTTACATCCTTTAAGTTCAAAGGCATCTATAGTGCTGATACTGATTAGCGTTTCTTCTGTTGAAATCATGGCTCCACCCCACAACCAAATTTTTTGATTTAAAGTAACAGCTTGGCAGAAAGCACGAGGAGAAGGAAGTGAAGATTTTCTATACCATCTACCAGAACTGTAAATAATAGAAAATATCAAATAACCTTTTTTATCTCTTTTCAACCAAGTTAATAAGGGGTATAAGCATACATGTGTAAACAAGTCAAATAATCAATTAAAACCTTAAATTTATCTTCAATACTGTAAGTACGTGTGTAAAAGGACTCGTAAAAATTGACAAATTCTTGAATACTACAACTTGTTTCCCTTGTGGTATTCATAGTTTAGAAGAATAATGGCAAGCAAGTATACTACACCCACATAACAGGATGTTCAAAGGTGTGGCTGGATGGAATGTTAATATGAGAACAAGTGCAGAAAAGAAGATACAAACAAGTTTAATGGATACAATTAAGTACTGCTCATGTAAAATTGTATTACATATCTTACAATATGAGAAAATAAAATTAAACTGAAATAAACTAAATGAATTTGAAATTAAAATGAAGTTAAAAATAAATAAATGATAACATTTGTGTTTGTTAATAATGAAACCTACTATATAAATCTACAATAGCATATTAATTACTTAAAATTGGATATATATTTTATTTTACACTTTAATTAGGTAGAATGACAATTTTACCTGTGATGAAATGGTTTGAAACACAATATTTTGCTTGAAAGCATTATTTTACATTGATCCTTCTTAGATGTAGTCACGCCTCCTATAACATATATCAGCCCCTCATTACTAGCTATTGCAGCTCCCATTACAGGTTCAGGAATAGGAGGGAGGAGACTCCAACTGTCTTGTTCTGGTTCATACATCTCTACTGAAGCTAGAATGCTATTATAGATATATAACAATGTCAATTTCTTATATTTTATATAGATACACACATACACATACAAACACAAGGGGAATATCTTACAATATTTATGTAAACTTATTAGTGATCTTCTGATAATATAAGTTGTATTTTATACTGTGATCTGCATGTATGGAAGTAATTTATGTGGCATTTACAGATTTTACAAACATGTTTGACATCAAAGATAGAACTAAAATAACTTATAAACAAATGGTGAAAAAAAGATTGCATAGAAAGTTTGCATGTTAGTCGTAAAATTTATGTATAAAAAAGCTAGAATTCATGTAAATGGTAATATATAAATGAATTTTTCAAATCTGAGTTAAAACAATGATGTATGCTTAATCCAGTATTACTTTCCATAAATATAATTTGGGGAAATTATAAATGAATTTATAGATGAAGAAAAGTTATCATTTTCCTAATCTGAAAATGTATTTCCAAACATACTTACCTCCGCTGAAACTTATAGCTATTTCTTGATCTTCATCTTTGCCATCTAAACATTGTGTTCACTTGCTACAATCTTTATACCACACTCGATTGCCTTCGGCACTATCTAATTTGCAAAAATTTACACCAGCTCTCACATACCCTTTATACAGGTACTGTATGTCAACAATATAATCACTTTTTTGAGAGTTATCCCATCCTAGTCACTAACACTAGCTCTTAGTGGGGAGGAAGAGAGGGAGAGTGTCAGCAGAGGTATGTTTGGAAATACATTTTCAGATTAGGAAAATGATAACTTCCAAAACATACATACATACCTCTGCTGACACTTTTAGTTAAAATCCCACATTAAGAAGGCAGAGGGGCATTTGCATAGAACAAAGGTGTACCATGAGAATTGGTACCCAAGCAGGGAAAACCACACTACATCCTGAACAGATATGCTCTACACCCAGAACTACAGAAAAATGAAAAGGGGTGAAATATTGCACAAGTAAGTATGATGGGCCAACCCCAACCATACAGCCAAGGTTCCATGACTCGAAGCTGGATTTAAGAGGTCACGGTACCTATACCACCCATTGGTGGCAAGGGCAGTTAAACCACAAATATATATATATATATATCTTTGTGATAGGATCCCCACCAGCAGCCATGGAATGATACATTTCAAACAACTGGATTTACAAAAGAAAGACAGCAACACCAAAGTGGACAAGCATTCTGATCAACCTGAAGAAGTCCAAAAAGCAACATCCCAGGCTTGGATTGATGGAATCATATATATGCCATACTCCACCCAAGGTCCAGAACTCATCTGGTCTGGATTTATGAATACTCATTTTCACTCCCTAACCAAGTGGGCAAAGGAGAATTCCACTTACCCATGGAATTATGGAGAGGACATGGAACCCTGTTCCACCAAGGGCCTAAGATAGGACCTCGTTGCAATCGGATTTACGAGGAGATAGTAGATCCCCTGCATGAACAACCTAAGACCTGACAATGTTCATAAGAGGGTCCAAGCACACATCCACCAGATAGCTAAGCATCAAATCTGGACCAGTTTTATAAGTAGGCTCCTGCGTAGATTGGTCCTGCTCCTACCGACATCTGTGAAAAACTTCCAGGAACCCAGGTAGGAGGGTCCCCAACTTCGCCCTCTTCTCCAAGAATGGTGAAAACTCAACACTCGGAAGGATAATTTTCTGTCCACCACCCCAGCAACTGGGAACTGGGTGTGGTAAGGACTCCCTAGCTCCATTATAAACAGTAGGGGACATATGTGTGGTGGGGAGGCCTCAGTAACAGGTTTCTGGAGACAATGCAATAGGTGAATCACGGTCCCTAAGGTTTAAA